AAGACTCTTTTTGAAAAAAAAAAACTCCACCTTTACACTCTATCTAAAATTGTCTTCCTAATTAGCTTGTACAGATTTTATACATTCTCACCCTCATGGCTACCAAGGCACCTTTCTCAACTTGCAAAAAATATGCATAATAATCACGAGCCAAAGTTTCTAAAATCTCATAAAAATTAAACCTTTTCTTAGTCGAGAAACATGACTAATATTTTTGCCAATGTCCTCACAACATCATCAAACACATTCACATTTATAGTACCTACTTTGTATCGTCTTAACATTAGAATCATTAAGGCTTTATAAGAATCAACCACTCCTTATATGGCTAAATATGAAACGAATATCTAGAGTGTAAAATCTAAGAGTTAGAAATATTTTAATCTACAATATCATTTATGAAGCATTGTTCACTTTCAAATATGTCATCAACAATATTTAGAAAATATAAAGTCTTTAGGGTTTATTGTTTTCCCCTTTTTTTAAAGTGCTTTGTCAGTTCTTCATAATTTCTCCTAACATGTTTCTTCTTATGACATAATATATAACACTTAACCTCCTTCCATGAAAACAATTGGTAATAATCATCTCTCCTGTCATAATGTCTCACCCGTGACTTATTCTTTCCCTATTTGAATCTACTTTCACTACCAAAACTTATTCAAAGACAAACTACTAGCTAGCTAGGCTGCTTTATATTGCGGTAACACCCCATAAATAGTTCTTTCTAGTAAAATTGTAGTTATCAAAATCTCATATGATTTAGCTGAGGAAGCCAACAAAATAATTGATTTATCGATCAATCTTGACCTCTATACATAATAATTAAAATATGCAATCATTAAATTATTTATACATTTCTTTATATCAATTTCTTTTATCTATCTTCAATACATAGGTACCTCTTTTTAATATATTCTATTAGTTAGAGAATTTAACACGTAAACTTTCTCTAATTTGTTCCTTAATTCAAAAGGAGATGTTCCATCTCTTGTTATATTTCAGTCTATGAGTCAAACTTAAACGAATACTTCTCCCTTCGCGCGTATTATCAATTACCAGAGCACCAGAGCAAAACAACAAACTAAAAAAGGCTAAGAATAGTCTCAAAAGAGAGGAAACTAGGACAAAATATATTTGCACTTTTTCTTTTCTTTTCATCTAATTTCTGGACCGAAGAAACTCTGAAACAGTTATGGCCCTATATAAGATCACGTTTTTATTTCTCCCCATATAAGATTACCTTAACAGAACTTGCACAAAGATGGAATCAAGGGTCGCGACGAAAATATCATAAAAAAATGGAGATTAACTGTAAACGTAAAGGGCAACTAGATTTTGACATGTATAATGCCAAACAATTGTTTCTTATGATCATTTCTTTTCACTTTACATTAATTTTCTTTTCTCCTCGTTTTGGATTTAGAATTCTCTTTATCTTTTATGTGGCATCAATCTTTGATGTTTGGCATTTGCTAATGTAAATCAATAAGGATGACAGCTCAGCTTGTTGTTTAGTGAATAATTGGAGTGATAGGCCGAAAGAGATCGCAAAAGACAAAGAAAGACAAGTAAAATAAACTAACAAAATACAAGTGGTCCAATAGGCTTAAAGTTCCTTAGAGGAAATAAAAAAAGGAAATTGAACTTTTAGACCTAATTTATCAGAAAAGTGAACCTATGCAGGGACGTACCTCAATCTCAAAATTAGTACCTTATACTAATACGACTAATAAATCAAGTTCTAAACAAGCCAAGCGAGAGTATTGCACACACAATATTTATGTTCTTGAATCTCGACAGGACGAAAAAAGAAACAATTGGGATAATTACATTGATATTCTTACAAACACTCTTTTGAAATTTTTTACATGAGCGCTCATTTAGTAGACGTTTAGTTAATAGATTCAGAATCATACTTTAAAATTATTCTCGATTTACGTGTATTTTTTATGAAAAAAAATACTATAACAAGTCACGAACCATAATCTAAATTATGACACGAATTCACAAACTAAACGCACTCTTACTTTAATTTTTAATTTGTAGGCTACGTCTATTTCTCATAAAAGGGAAAGAAAGAAGGGTGCATTTATTGTGGAGAAAGTTACTTGTAGGCTGCTTTTTATTAGTATTATCATAAATGACCATAGTTAATAGATATAATTAATTAGCATTCTTCGTTATTTGGGGGCCTTCGTTATTTAGGGGCATTAAGCAGGACTTGGATCCTCTGTCTAAAATCCCATGTCACCATCCCTGTCCATCCAATCTAAACGTGCCACCTCATTTAAAAATTCTACAAATAGTTAACACTTAACGGAGTTTGTTTTTTCGTTTAAAAAATCGTTCACATTGCAGATTATATGTATGCAAGGAGTTGATGAACGACGATTTTCAAATGGAGAAAAAGATTTGATGAACGACGTTTGTTAACACCGTTTTGGATTAAAGGCTTTAGATGAGGTGGCATGTTTGGATTGGATGAATAGAAATTGAGTCAGGAATTTTGGACAGAGGATCCAAGTCCCCTTAAGCCATTGCCTAATTGGCGGTAACGAAGAGCCGGCACTTATCGACCTTTAACTTTTCTCTCTAAAATTAGTTCTTATAGTTAATTTTATCTCATAAATAGTTATTGACCTCAAAAAATGTCTTTCTCTATTAAATTTTAAATAGAAACCGCTAGTTTTATCTTATAAAAAGTTTCTGAACTATTTTCTCTTTTTAAAAATATTTCCTATGTTAAAGTGTATTATATTTAATCCCTAAGAAAAAAAAGTTAAATTAGACGAGAAGTTGTGTACAAAACGTTAATCTCTAAACAAAAAAAAAAAGGTGATTCTATTAACACCTATTAAATTTGTTTAAAAAAAACGACTATAAACAATAGTATTTTTTATTTTTTGTTATAGTACATAAAATAATGTTATAAAATATAAAATAATGTTATAAAATGATCTTGTGGTACATTTTGCTATATATTGTTGATTGTGACTTGTAGTTAATTGCTAATTTTACTCATTTTTTAGGAAACCTTTTTTTTCCTGAATTTAGTGTTAAAAGATTCTAACAAATGGGTTAGATATATACTAGTATTTTTTTCTTGGTTGAATTTTGAATGTGCTTGGTTTCAACATTTTGTATTGTTCTAAATTAAATTTGTTTGTGATTTTATTTTTATAAGAATTTTTTTTTAATTTAAGAAAATAAAAAACTAAAGTGATAAATTGAGAGTAATAGGTATAATACAAAAAATTCTATAAAAGTGTACCGTTTTAAAATTATTATTATCAGATAAGTAATATTTTGGGAAATTTATTAATATGGTCAGGGCAAATGTAATCACTCAAAAAAAAAAAAAAGTTACTTATGTGAATAAATAGATAAAAAACCATCAAATATGTGTAACAAAAAAAATTAATTTTCGTATTTGTTTTAGTTGTGGAACTACATTTGTTACAACTTCTTCTATTCATTTAACAAATGAATTAATTTTAGCACACATATATACACTTTTTTTAGTTTAGGGATTAAATATAGCACAATTGACTTAGAGACTATTTCTAAACAGAGAAAATAGTTCATGTACTTTTTATGAGATAAAATTAATGATTTTTGTCCAAAATTTAATAGATTGACTATTTATGAGATACTTTTAGAGTTTAGAGATTATTCATGGGATAAAATTGACTACATGGGTTAATTCTAGAGAGAGAAAAAATTCAGAGACTATTCATAAATTTATTCCTAAAAATAATCATACTTAGTTGCTAGTGAAATAGCACGTACGAACTACCACAATTAATATGAAAAAAAACCCAAAAATACTATTCAAGATAGTAAAAAAATTATTTATATCGCTTCACTCAAAAATAAATAATTATTATTTAATTAATAAAGAGAAAAAGATTATAATGACACTTAATTATATAGAATGACATAAATAATAAATTTATATAAAATTATGAATAATAAAATTATGTACTTTTCTCAATTATATAATATATATGCACAAAATCTAGTCCATGCAACAATATGAATCTTTCAATATGTTGTGAAGATTTTATATTAGGATCTGAAAAATAAATTGCTTTTAAGTTTTTATTTTTAGCCGTTATATTTATCTCTTTAAAGATGAGAATTTTTTTTGCTAATCTTAAAAATCAGAAATTTACATTATCGGTGGGGCCTCCTCCCGTAGGAAGACCCATGTTGTTCGACAAAAAATTTAGAAAGATCTATTATGTAGCATGAGGCTCATCTTTGTCTCCCTCTCTTTTCTCTTCTCTCTCTCGTCGCAAGGTCTCCAAAGCACATGACATGAGTACGGAACTTGATAGAAATATCAAGTTCCTTGACCATTGACATCCATTTAAATTAAAATATTATGTACAAGGGAGGAAGATCATTTTCTTTCACATTGTCATCCAGTACTAGAAAGTGGAAAAGTTCCCTGAGAAAAGCTCTCCACCAATTTCAAAAAAAATGGTTTTCCTTGGGCTTTGTTGCCCCTTAAACATCAAACAACATTCCCACTATTATTTTTCTTCCTTAACTTTCCCACCACATTTTCTCCCTCCTCTTTTTTCCCTTCCCACAAACTTCAATCAGATTCTTTATCCTCCAGGAAAGCGCTGAATAAGTGCAACATTAAAAAAAAAAAACAAAAAAAGAACAAAAACAAAAACAAAAAAACCCTCAAAAGATCTCTCTCTCTCTCTCTCTCTCTCTCTCTCTCTCTTCTTCTAGCTAAACCCCTCAAAAACCATGAAAATTTTTCCACTTTTCCGATTCAAACTTTCAAAAACCAAAATTTTCAGACAAACCCACTTCTAGTTTACTAGTTCTAGTTCTCATTCTTTAACTCCCACTTGAAAAAAAAAAAATATATATATATATATATATATCAAAAATCAAAAACCCATTTCCCAAAAGTCCCTCAAAAACAGAGTTTTGGTATGTCTACGGCACCAACAGTGGAGCAACAGCCACCAACGATGGGTGTCGGTCAGCACGATTTTTTTGCCCATTCGGGCCAGGGGTCGGTTGGACCCGTCATCGGCGTGCTGGCGGTGATCACCGTCCTCGGAGTCATCGCCGGCATGATTGGAAGGCTCTGTTCTGGCCGTCGGATCATGGGTCACGCCCAGTACTACGACTTCGAGGGCTGGGTCGAGAGGAAATGCTCCACGTGTCTCGACGGCACCATCGACCCTCCTCCGCCGCCGCCGCCGCTGGTAGCTCCGGCGGAAGTTCCGGTGGCGATGCCTGCGGAACCGCCGCAAGAGGCGAAGGAAGAAGGGGAAGTAGAGGAGGAGGAGGAGGCAGCAGAGCAAGCCCAAGCTCGGCAACAACAGAAGAAACGACGACAACAACAACAACAACACAACTTACATGCAAGTACTAGTGAGTCTTGACAAAATTAAGGGTTAAAATGGGTTGGTTTATTTCATGGTATTCACAAGCAAAATATATATATTTATATATATATATATTGATATTGAGTTAATCTTGATTTTGTTTGTCTTTTTTTTTCTTACTTGGTGCTTAGATTATATTTTGTTGGTTAATTGTAAGTTTATTCCATTGTTCATTTGGGTTCATATCTTTATTTCTTTTCCTTCCACGTCCCATCTATTTTTTTTATTATTATTAAAACTTGAAAAAATACCATTATTTTGTGTTTTTACGGTAGGATTCCACCAGTAGTGTATTTTTCTCAACAAATGAAAAACTACGCAAAATTGTCAGAACGATTCAAACGGTTTAAAACAGAGAATGAGATAGAATTCTTTTTTATTTTATTTTAAGTGTTGGAACTTAATCATGGGTATGAGAATATTATGAAATAAATTGAAAAGCTTTTTTTTTTTTTTTCTTTACCACAAAAACATAAGCGTGAAATTCTACATAAAGAAAAAGGAAATGTGGATCCATGTCATTCATGATAATGTTTGTCACTATTTTTTTTTCCTTATGTTTGTCTATTATTGAAAAACATTCATAATTTCGTATGCATTTTTGCACTGATGAGTGGGCTTCAAAGTAGAGTCTGTAGGTTGTTGGCTCTTTGCCTCGTGTGTTTCTATTTTTGAATACATGTTATTTAATTATTTGCCTGTTCATTTGTTTCTATCTTGTAAGATGTTCTCTTTGGATTCTCTTATTCTTGTCAATCTGTATAACTGCAAAGTTGTGAAGTAAAATATCAAAACATTCCTTTGTTAAGCGTGAGAGACAAAACTATGGTTCAGCGTTTCATGCCATTTCTGGAATTATTATTATTATTATAGCGAGCCTCCCCAGGCTGATTGAGATAGAGAGCTACCACTTTAATTATAGACCGATAATTTATTAGAACAGACAAAAATATAATAATAACTCTTAATTCCTAAAAAAACGTAAATAATAAACCAAAAAATGAAGCTCTGTTGCCTAGTTAGAAACTATTATTATTATTATTATTATTATTATTATTGGGTGTTTCATTTATGGCTGTAGGGAGATTTGAAATGAAATGTTTTTTGTCTTCTTTGAAGGAATCTGTTGAAAACACTGAAGTAATGGTGCAATTCTGTCTTATTTACCTTAAAACTAGGGTTCGTATTTCAATTAAAAAGAAAATTGATGGAGGCAAATTGTTTATTGTTAAACTGGCTAGTACAAACGTTGGCATATACTTTTTTTTCTGTTTTTTTAAAGTAACATTTGGATTATACATTTACAATTGGAAACAAAGTTTAATACATGGTTATACTTAGCAAGGTAAACACGTGTTTTAGCACAGTTTGACTAGATTTTTTTTTTTATATTTAATTTGCATGGTTGATAATAAACAAAGGTATAAGACGAAAGCTTATTTTTGTGTTTTATCAAGATGCTATATTCCATTCTATGATTTATCTTTTCAGGAATTATGCACTTGTCTATGTCCTTTGTAAATTCCGTTCAAAACCTCTCCATGTCGAGAAATTGTTGAATCATGACTGCACCCAAAAAAATGTGAAACCCACAATCCGGTCAGGATCCGCGAGCCCCGGCTCCCCGACCCCCCTCAGGCCGCTTTAGTCCACCATGCAACTCAATTTTAGCCCCACACACCCGTATCCGCACCCTCGCTAGCTAGGGAGGTGAGGGTTTTTTTTTTTTTTTTTAATCTCTCAGATTTTTGTTATCTTTTAAAATTTTCAGATTTTAAGTTGTTTTTATTTAAAGAAAAAAAAAAGTATTGAGGTTTAGGTTTAAAAAGAATAATACTATCTCTCTCCACAACTGTAATTTTAACCACAACACTAGAGATGAGAGACTTTTAGCTCAAGTGCGACATATTCTTAAAAATAATAAAGTGAAACATAATAATGTTTTGATATAACACTTGCGAAATTTTTGTCTTTTATCAAATTATGAAAATATGCTATTTTGGATTTGTCCTTGGATGCCCCAAGTGTGGAAGACCTATCATCTCTAGACGGCGCAGAAAGCTTGTGTTGTGTCTCTCTGTTTGGATGTGTCACAGTGAATATTCCAACCTGAAAGAGCTGAACTTCCTCTTCACTTCCTAAACGCCAAAATTTTATGGATCAATCAAAAGCTAAGGTTGTGTTTGGAGTTGTTTTCGTTTTGTTTTTCACATTTTTTGAGAAAGAAAATAAAAACGGGAGAGAAATGATATTTGGCATAATTAAAGACAAAAAAGGTAATAAAATTATTTTTTAGTTTAGTGTAAAATGAGAGAAAAATAAAAAATAATTTTTAGTTGTTTTTTATTTTTTGTTTCCGTTTTCTCCTCTACCAAGTAGAGAGAGATATTAATATATATTTTTATATTGAAAATAATATCTTGAAAAAACTACTAAACGTATTTTTAAAATGATTTTTGTCTAAGATTGAAAATGTTTTCATTTTCATTTTCATATAAAAAATAAAATTATTTTAGAACGAGTTTCAAACAATCTTAAAGAATGCAAAAGATAGCTCTTTGATGTACCACAAATGCACACGTACACAGCAAAAGTCCAATGTTTCTTTAGCCTATGTTTGGTAGAATAGGAAGGGGAGAGGAAAGAAAAGAGTTTGCAGAAGAAAAGAGAATCTTCGGTTTAATAAATTTACACGTTGAATAACGATGGTACAAGTTTTCCACCAATGAAAATGCAATATATATGTAGAATAACATGTGGAGTTTGATTTAAATCCAATACAAATAAGTCTCTAAAGACTATGAATAAATTAAAACAAATGCTAATAAAATAAATACTAATTTACACTCTAAATACCCAGGATAAACAAAATTAAATAATTTTAAGATAGATACAAATTATTTAACTTAAATAGTTCGATTATCTTTATTAGTTTGGATGAGATGAAATGGGGAACATAGAAAGATGTAAATCCTTAGGGCTTATCACTTTTTAACTTTTTCTATTTTTGAAAGGAAAATGAATGAAAAAAATTTAATAAACAAGTAGGATGTAACATAATTATTCTAACTCTAATCATAGATGTATTATTCGAATGCACAAAATTTGACATTTTTTTAACTTTCTTTTCTATCTTATTAAACACTATAAAACAAAATCTCCCTTCTACCGTAATTTTTCCTTCACTCATATAGGCTCTTTCTGTGGTCCCTCACTATTTTTATGGGGAAAATTTTCTCATCATAAAAAGTTAAAGGTTTATCGTAACCGGTTAAATAATTAGCATAATTCTCTTGTATTAAATCGTAACAGCTACTATTTTGGAAACTTTTTAAGCATATGGCAAATAAAACACTATCATATATTGCTTTAAAGAAATATTTATGCATGACCGGTGTGCTTATCAAAAAAAGAACATGACATATGTAATTCTTCACGACAATATTATTCAGGTTTAAAACGACAGTCGGTTACGATGAAATGATTAATATTAATAGAAAAAATGACAGTCGTTTATTGATGTGCCTTTTAATATTTTTCATATAATTATTCATGACAGGTGTATATGACAATCGTTTATTGCTATATGTTTAAAAACGACTTCTAATTTTTAAAATAGTAACTGTTACGACTCAATATAAGAGAATTATGCTATGCTTTCAACCGGTTAAGATTAGCCATATTGACCAACAATTGTGTGTAGGACGGCAAAATGACGTCCTTCCAAGGATCATTATTTGCTCTTTAACTTTTCATTAATTCATAATTATTATCACCGATATTTTTAAATTTTAGGGTCATTTTCAATTTACTCCTCAAATTTTAAAACTCTCACATTGCCCCTTAAGTTTTGAATTGTTCCAACTTAACCCTTTTTGTTGGAATTTTTATTAAAAATATATAAAAAAAGAGTAATGTAGTCACATGCTTTTCTGTTTGAATATTTGTTAAAAGCAAATAAATAAAAACCATATTCCACATTTAACCTTTTTTTATGATATAATTTTATCATAAATTCTTATAAAGGAGTTAGATGGGACTAATTTAAAATTCATGGAGTAAAGTGAGAGTTTTCAAAATTTAGAAGGCAAATTAGGAATTCCAAACTTCAGGGGCCATCCGTGATAATAATTCTTCTTTTAACATTATCTAAGTTAATAAAAAGTTATAGTTTTGTGGGTATTTATCTTAAGTCTGGCACCCTAACCAGTCAAGTATGTGTAATATTTTTTATATTGTTTGGGTAAACATGATTCATACGTGTAACACTTAATTTGCTTTAATGTAACCTTTAAAAAATGTAGTCTAATACATGTAACGTGAAATGTTATACTTAAGCAAATTAAACATTACAAACGCTGACCCACGTGCGAATTATATTATACGAGAATATAAAAAAGTTACACTTATTAAATTGTACATGTGCCGAATATGACACTCTGTCAATAATATGTGTGGATATTATTTTAAACTGATAAATTTTTATTAGAATATACAACTTTATATATAGTATTACTTTAATGTAATTTTGATTGAATTTAATGTTAATGAGTATGGATATATTATCGGCCCGTTTAGTTCACTGATTTAAATTTTTAATTTAAATTAAGATGTAAATTTATGTAAAAAATTTTTTATTATAATAAAAAAATTAAATATGACTTATTATAATAAAATTTAAAATTTAAGTTCGAATCAATAAATGAATAAATGCATATAAATGAGATATCCTGTCATAAAGAGCTTCATAATTCTTTGATTGTTGGTACTCGGTATCATGGAAAAATGAAATTCCATGTGATGAGAGCAGCTTTTGTCTAAGCCGCCGACACCACCACAGAGCATACCAGCTCAAACAAAGCTGATCCTTTGTAACTAGCACAGTTCTTTAGTTGTTCATGCACAGAAAGTATCCGGGCTTTTGATTCTCTTTGTCAGAACTCAAATCTTTCCGTCCAAGCTTGGATTTGGTGTATTTTAAAAAATTGTTTGATTCGTAAATTAAAATTATTTTTGATTTACGTATATTTTTTATAAGAGAAAATACTATAACGAATTATGAATCATGATTCGAATCAGAGAACGAATCCTCTAATCAAACGGGATGTATTCATGCAGCTGGATTAAATAGAGGGGACTTTCCCGATACGTGTCATTGTTCATTTTATTAATTTAAGTTTTATATTATAATTAAATTTTTTTATAAAAAATCACATTTAATTTTTTTTGTTATAGTAAAAAGTTTCACATAAAATTAAATCTCAACTCAGATTCGTGAACTGAATAAGATCATTGATAACTCAGATTTTCTATCTGTTAAATCTACATAAAATCACATAAAAATTAAAAAAAAAATATACAGATTTAACAATTAAAAAAACTTAATTTATCGATACGAATCTCATCAAATATAATTATACAACTAAAAGTAGAATAATTGTGGTTTATATTCTTTTTTTCTTTTCGCTGGAAGGTAATTGTGGTTTATATTGAACTTGGAAAATGTATTCTAGTTCATTTGATAGGAAAAGAAAATATATGTATATGTTTTTTTTTTAATGCTTGATATCATACGGTTGGTTACCCATACCAATACTAATACTATAATATTTTATTTGAGAAAATTACAAAACTTATCTTTAAAAGTATATGTGTCTGACTTTTATCTTTTATTCTTAATAAATACTCTTTTGTTAGTGTAATTATTTAACTAAAACTGTTATAAATCAAGAGTAAATAGTAAAAATCCTGACTCATACACTTTCTAAAAGTATTTATCAAAATTATCCTAAGTCTTTTCTTTCTTGGACCAAGATAAATCTCAAAATATGAAAGATAACCTATTAGTGTATTAAAAATAACCTACAAGATATAAAAAAATAATCTATCAAAATATGAAAAATAACTCACTAGAATATTTTTTTAGTAGCATAAATTAAAAATTTAAAATTAATGGGAGAAATAAAATAATTTTACGTTTTTATAGGATTCTTGAAAATTTCTCATCTCACAAACTATGGTGGCCTGAAGGCCCCCAACTATTAATAGGTATAATTCTGCATTGTCATATTTATATTGAGTTTTGTTATCATATTTTTCTTAACTCAACAAACGTAATTTAACAGTTCAACAAAATTTTCTTAACTCTTATGATTAATCAATCTTTTCAAGATCTTCAACTTGCCGAACCGCTACCTAATTTAAACAAGGATTACATAATTTGGGTGCAGAAGTGGTTGTGAATGATTAATCTTGAACTTGGAGAATTTTTGTTTCATAGATTTTTGGGTAATTCAATCAAATAACCTAATTTAAGACCTCTTTGACAAATGTTCAAATTCAGAGAAATATTTTTGAGAAATCAGAAGAACGCTCGTGAAGAGGGGCACAAAGATTTATAAGAAATCAATCTAAGAATATGACAGAATTAAAAAAAAATGTAAAACTAAAAATGAGCTAAGAAAGTACATTCCCTATTTAGCATTTGAAAAAGTGTGCCACCATAGTTATATATATATATATATATATATATATATAATATAAGAGCACAATTGATTATTTTAAACATGAATAAAAACCAAAATTATGAAATGTGATATCTACACCTAGTAACATGCGGCTCCGTCACTGATGCCGATCAGTGCCCGCAATGACATGAGGCACTTTT